GTAATTAGGAGTTTCATTTGAATAATCAGCGCTAGGCATTACCATTCAGCGCTGAGGGAATCGATTCCCTCAGCGCTGAAAGTCCCGCTGGGATATAACACTAATTACAATAGAAACTGAAAACTTATTTTTAGCTTCGATTAAGTGCTTTTTGGGAAAAATAAATTTCAAAAAGAGGTGCTTCGTTTTCAATGAAATGTAACCATCAAATATTTGTTTACCTTTTCTTTGTAAATATGTCAAAAACAGGTTTCTCAAACTGTCAAAAATGTATGAAAAACTTTTGTTTACGGTATATTCAATGTATTCATTTTGCATTTGGAACATATTTGGAACTCATTTGAAGCTCGTTGGAACCCATTTGTACAAAATGAGATCTATTGTGCCAGTGTAATCTCATTTGCACATATGATATTTTGTATGTAGAAATCAATCATTTGCTCCTCATTTGTTTGATTTGATTTTTGATCCAAATCAGTCATTCGACGCCATATAAAAGTCGTTTAGAATAGTGAACTCTACAAGAATCCACCGTTATATTGAGCAATATTGGAAATTGTGACTTTTTAAAATTTCTCACATAGTACATATATTCTCACATTACTTCTTTTATGCTAGAAAGGATTATCTAAATTAAAAATAATAGAAATGAAATAAGAAAATTAATATATATAGCATTTATATGTGGACATTAACTGAATGTCTAGGGCTTATTGCTAAATATGAGTTACACTTTCCAACATTGTTAGAATTAACAAAATTGTAGCTAATGAATTGACCGGTTACCAACACTGATGTATGAGGAAATGTAAACGCAAAGAAGATAAACAAAAACAGAGAATTATACAGACAGAAGAGCGGAGGAGCACGTGCTAAGTGAATTTTGAATAATTCTCCATATATTAAATCTTTAAAATTTAATGAAAACATGGGCTTAACAAAACAATATTTGGCCTATAGGCCCGTAGATAGTTTTAATATAATAACGAGCGCGCGTACGAATGTGAACTTTGTTGTTTACAATGGCATTGAAGGGCGCTATGTCCTGACAGGAGCGGCAGAAAATGCTATTGTGTGGGATTTAAGGTGAATGCATGTATAAATTCAGACATTATATATAACATTGAAATATTTTGTGCACAGGTTGGGTGAACGTGTGGCTACCTTTCGGCGTGACAAAATAGAAGTAACCGCATTACGCTCTTCACCAGACAATACGCATATTTCAATTGGCTACGCAGATGGTGTGGTTGAAGTGTTCGATTTAAACTCACCATTGCAAGCAATTTGTTCACTAGCTGTGCATAAAAGTGCTGTGTCCATCATACGATACGATAATGAAGGAATGCGTTTAGTGTCCGGTGGTTTAGACACTGAATTAGTAGTGGTTGACATAGTCGAACAAGCAGGTAAACAGCGATTAACTGGGCACAATGCTTCCATTACAGACGGTCACTTTCTGCAAGTATTTGGTCAACAAAACATTGTAATAAGCAGTTCGAAAGATACACAGATAAAGTTTTGGAATCTGGACACGCAGTTTTGTTTTAAAACCATTGTAGATAATCGAACTGAAGTGTGGGCTCTTGCATTTGTTGGTACGCTTATGGTAGCTGGTTGCGGTGAAAGTAGCATGAATGTATATCGATTAAAACAACACGATGTAGAATCACAGCCTTTGGAAAGAGCTGTAGAAGGCTTATCAATCGATGATGAAGACACTATTAGTCCTATTTCAGTATCTAATTGTGGTGTTATACAGCGTGCTGGCAAAGGACGTACAGTTAGCTTAGTAACTGATATGAGCGAGCGTGTTATTAGTTGTCACGGTACTAATGATTTAATTGAAAGTTTTTATATTTGTACCGATGATGAAGCTAAAAAGCGTTTGGCTAAACGTTTAAAAAAGGCAAATAAATCAGCAGATAATATACAATCGCAAGAAGTAAGTTTAAGCGATGAAATTAAACGTTTAGAGAGCATTAAAGTAAAGCAAAAAATAAAATCAATTGACGTGATATTGGGTAGTAATAACGAATTACGTGTGGCTGTCAGTTTAGCAAATAACAGTTTACAACTGTATAGTTTGAATGTGCTTTTAAATCAAAAGAAAAATATAAAAGAAAATTATAAACTTCTGCGTTCTCTAACACGTGCTGGACATCAATCCGAGGTACGCACAGTTTGTTTTAGTTCAGATTCTTTAGCTATTGGATCTGGTGCGGCAGAATCATTTAAGTTTTGGAATCGAGAGACGATGCAATGTTTACGAACAGTCACTTCAGATTATATACTTTGCGCTACTTTTGTGCCTGGCGATCGCTATGCACTTCTTGGTATGAAAACGGGGAAGCTGTTGATAGTTGATGTAGGTACCGGTGATATTACAGAAGAAATTCCTGCGCATGAAAGTGAGCTATGGTCATTAGTTGTTTTACCTGATCAAAAAGGTTGCGTTACTGCAAGCAGTGACACCACGGTTAAAGTATGGACATTTGAACTTGTTGACAGCTATCATACAGAAGACGATGAACATGCTACACAAGCAAAAGTCTTATCTGTGCTGCATAAGAATACTCTTAAGCTGGAGGAAACTGTTTTATGCGTGCGTTTAAGTCCTGACATGAAATATTTAGCAGTGGGTTTGCTCGATTCTACTGTGAAGATATTTTTTTTGGATTCATTTAAGTTTTTTCTATCATTATATGGACACAAACTACCAGTGTTGTGTTTAGATATATCATATGATTCCAATTTGATTGTCACGGGTTCTGCTGATCGAAATGTAAAAATTTGGGGTCTAGACTTTGGCGATTGCCACCGATCACTCTTTGCGCATGATGATTCTGTAATGGCTATTCAATTTATACCAAAAACACATATGTTCTTCACATGTGGTAAAGATGGGAAAATTAAACAGTGGGATGCAGATAGTTTTGATAGAATTCTAACATTACCAGGTAAGTTTTTATTTGAAATGGTTAATCAACACCGATTTTATACATGAAGTTTTGTTTTAGGACATATTGGAGAAGCGTACAATTTGGCTGTGAGTCCTAATGGCAAATATTTAGTTACGTGTGGTTCAGATCGCACACTGCGTGTGTTTCAACGCACCGATGAACCTCTAGTTTTGCAAGATGTACAAGAAGATGAACGTGAAGAAATGGAAAATCAGCAGCTAGCAACTGGTGAAGATAGTGGAGTACCGCTACTTCCAGGTCTAAAATTAGCATCTCGTAAAACGGTGGGTTCTGAAAAAGCAGCTGAATCCATTTTGGAATGTTTGGAGATATGTAACCAATACGACGTTGATGCTGAAGATAAACCCGACATACATCCCTTATTGCGCGCTTTACAAGTAACAAATACAGATGATTTCTTACTAGCTACTATAGGTCGAATACGTGCTTCTGATTTGGAAGAGGCCTTACTTATACTACCTTTTTCGAATGTCTGCGAATTGTTAGACAGACTACCACAGTTAATTGCAAAACGTAATGATGAAATAGAACTGTTGTGTAAGGTTACCATATTTCTTTTTAAGGTGCATATGAAACCAATTACAAGCTCAAAAGCAATGAAGCCTCTACTAGAAAGTTTGATAAAATCGCTAAAATCTGACGTTTTAGCATTGCGTGATACGATTGGTATAAATTTGCATGGCTTAGGCATGTTACAACGAGATATTGAGGAAAGGCAAGGAATAGAGCTTTTCCGAGAGGCCACACAAGAACGTAAAAAACGAGATAAAAAGAAAAGACAAGCCACAAAACGAGTTCATATTCAATTGACGTAGTGTTGTAGTGATGAGAATAACGTTTATGATGTGGAATAAAATAAAAAAAATTATTTATATAAAACTTTAAAACCTTTATTAATAGATGAAATACTTATAAATTTTGAGAAGTTTCCAAGATTTTTTTATAAGATACAAGTGACTCAATGAACTGGTTGTATAGCTAAACTAGACTTTTGGCTCAATTCAACATTAATAATTGTTTTAAAATTTTACACATAAAAAAATTAGAGGTGAACAAATTGAACATTTGATACAAATAGGTTCCTTTAACAGATTGCTGCTTTTGGGTAACAAGGCGACGAATCGCTTTGTGGACAAACGCCTGAAAAAAGAAGAAAATGATTGACTTGTATAAACTACGATATGGGGAATCTTACCACCACAACGAGAGAAAGTTCCTGGTGGGCCATAGCTCAGCTTTTGTATTGTGCATTTCTCCATGGGTATGCATGGTTTAATATACGGCGCCTTCTCTGCCCAAGGCATGGGATCTTTTGGTAATACACAGTTTGGCATATAACTCAATTTATAAGTGGTACACTTCTCTGGTGGTTCCTTATTACTAACGACACCTGGTATTGGTTTGATTGGAAGTGGACGAGTAAAGTCGCACACTGGCATGTAGGATAAGCGATTTATAGTACATTTTTCCATACCACCAGTAGAACGACATATCAGTGATCGTGGTCTAATGGGAGTGCGTCGACATAACGGCTTAGGGCCGAAATCATGTTTCTGTGTAGTAATTCCAAATATAGGTCCTGAGGGCTTAATACAATTTTCTCTAGGTCGTATAGGTTGAACGCGTCCCAAACAATAATTAGGTTGATATGATAACTAAAAGAACAAAGATATTAATATAGTCCCTTAGTAATATAATATTTTATGAGTGTGTTAATTGGGCATTTAAATAAAAATAAAAATAAACTATAATTTAATATTTATATTTAAAACAAATTATTGTATTAAGATATTTTCCACTATTTCGACTATCTTCAATAGTCAGATTAAGGGAAACTGAAAAATAAAATAAAATAAAATAAAATAAAAAACTATAATTTGGTTTAAATATAAATAATAAATGACAGTTTTTTTATTTTTATTTAAATGACCAATTAGCCCGCTTATAAATTATTATATAATATTTTTTGTCACAAAAGAAAGAATAAAATTTATTGCTTTATTTAATCTAAAGCAATACATATATATTTTATACAACTATTATATGATGCCATATGGTAAAAATGGTATAAATCAATTCCTTACCTTTTGTACTGTACATTGTTCCATTTTTCCAGTTGGTAACTGTAAGGCTGGTATTGGCAGTATTGGGGTTGGTCGACAACCACCCACCGGCATATAACTAAGCTTATAAACTGTATTGCAATCACCGCTATCATTACCCAAACATTTTAAGCCCGGTAATGGGCGTATGGGTGCCATCCGTGAAGGATTACAATTTGGCATATAACTCAAGTTATAGGTGGTGCATAAGTTCTCGTACTTAGGTGGAATACAACGAATTTTGTCAGCCCATGGCATTGGGTCTTTCGGTGGTATACAAACTGGCATATAACTCAGTTTCTGCACTGTGCAATTTTCGACCGCACCAGTAAAAGGATTAAAATTATTAGGTTGTTTTATCGGCTGTGGTGGTGGATTCCGACATACATCATTTGGCATGTAGGAGAGCCGATTAATAGTGCAACTTTCTAAAGGAGCACAAACTTTCCATCCGTTTCCTCTTGGGCGAATAGGGTCTCGTTTACTATAGCATTTGGCTACGTAATCATGTTTCTGTGAAGTCATTGCATAAAGTGGTCCGTTAAAGCGCATTCCATTATCTTTGGGTCGAATTGGTGCAGAACGCATATATGCACAAGGTGGCATGTATGAAAGTTTTTGCACTGTGCATCTTTCCATAGGGGCTTTATTGGGTTGTAAGTTGTGACAAGGCAATACCGGCTTAGCCCTGAAACAATCGCCACAATTACCATAATAAGAGCGCTTATAAATCGTTTCTGTTTCTAATGGAGCCGTTGAGCGCATTATAGTGGCAACAGGACGTATTGGTAGGGTGCGTGGTGGTTGCTGATAGCAACAGCTGGAGTAATCACCACAATCACAAGGAAGATTACATTGTGCACCTGGTGAACATGGTACATATTGCGGAGGTAATGAACATGGATCACATGGTAATTGACAGCCAGTTGGGCAACTCATTCCAGCGTCTAGCCCACAGTTAGTTGGGGCATTTGCTAAACAATCCCCGGGAATGTCACAAAGCCCCTGACTGTTGTAGGAATATCGAAAAACAGGACAGATTTTTAGAAGGAAAGATACATATACATATTATATAATACTCACTCGCACATGTTGACCACTTTATGCAAACTCTTATGCGTTTGCCAAATTAAAAATTTTTACTAATAGAAGTTATAAAATATAAATTTAGATAACTAATAAGCAAGCACAATGCACAGAGGACAAAAATTTAAATTTATTCGAAATTAATTTTTTGACATTCATCTGAATACTATTTTTAAATATTTTTAAATCTTATATTATTATATGCATCACGTTTTTGAATAAACGTAAGTTCAAAGATAACACATTATTAAGGCCTACTATAGTTTTAAAATTAAAGTTGACATATTGGAGAAAATCAATGTAAATTACTCGTATTATGAGAATACGTTGAGTAATAGCTTTTAAAATATATATGCTTTTAGAAGTGCTACTAATCCAGTCAGTTTGTGGTTTGCCTTGCAAAAGGTGATATAGAAAAGGTTTGGGATATATTGTTAAGGTAATCCAAGTTTTCGACCTTGGGGGGTGAAGAAGTTGTTGAGGTCAAACCTTGAGGATGGTAACAAGAAACCAAAAAATTGTTTAAGCTTTATAACTCATCACTTTTATATTAAAAATGAAATAATTTTATTGTTGAGTCTTTAATTGCCAGAATGCTACAGAAGATATTGCCAATTAATTACTAAACAATATTAATGACTTAAGACATTAAGCAAGAGAAAATTAATAGTTCATAATAATAATATGTAGTAGTAACTATATCACTTCAAGTATTTTTTTAGTTCTGAAACATCATAACGCCATAAAAGAGTATTCGCAGTTTACTAATTTATATTGACTGGAGTGTGCAGATCTCATGATTATTGGATACAACCTTCAGTATGTACAAGTATATTATTTAATGTGTTAATAAAAGACCGAACTTGAACAATCCAAATTTATATTTTATTTTAAATTTTTAAAATGTAAACCAAAAAAAAACTAATGAAGGGAAACTCCAGTTTATTGATAGCCATGCACAAGTTATATGTTAATTACTTTTAAACCAAAATAAATTAACATCTAGTTTAGAAGTTTGCTCGATTTCTGCCATTCATTGGATAACAAGTGTATGGCGTTGGTGGCATATACGACATGGTATTGACGGTTTGACATTCAGCTAATCCATTAAATTTTAAACTGCTTGGTCGGCGTAGTAGCGGCCGAGGCCCATAATTGCATTGCGGGACATAGGAAAACTTTGGCCTACGACACGAATCCAAACCTGATTTGAAAGGCATTGTAGTACAATTTCGCATTCCATTACAGTGTGACATGGGGGCAGATGGACAGCAGCTGTAGTTTGGAAAACACTCCAATGAACCAGCGCATGTGTATGGCTGGAGAGCTCTGGTTACGGAACCAAAGTTGCTGGCTATGTTAGAAATGCAACAATTGGCATCTATTCCAAGCACTACTTCGTCAGGAACCTCGCAGATAATTCCACTATAACAGAATTTAAGGATGTTAATTTATATAGCATTACAGTTAAGGCACTCTATTACACTTACTTCATTTTGGAATATATATTGCAATAAAGCTATGTTGAGATCAGTACCAAAAAGATCTGGAGTGTTCACTCGAAAATTTTGAAGCTATGAATTTTCGAAACTAAGTGAAGAAATAAAATTTTTTTTTACAATATTTTAATATTTAAATTTACTATCTAATATTTTCTCGAAATTTCAAAGCCTATTTAGAAATTCGAAAATTACACAAATTTCTTTGGAATTGAAATTCTATGATACATCATTGTGTAACACCAAGTTAAGAATAATAGCTTTAGAGTATATACTATTTAAAAAGGTACATGGCAAAAATCGGAATAAATGTATCCAAAACCACCGTCTAAACGCGAATTATATGTGCACATGAATGATGTTCTTTGCCGTTTTTCGCTATATGCTGCTATATATAGTATGATCCACCTGACTTCAGTTTTGAATATACTTCTGCGTATAAAGCATTTAAGAATTTTTTAGATTACCACAAGGACTCGCAATGAAAATATTTTTAAGATTATAAAACTTTCTAAGAAACTGTTTTGTGCCTTTCAATAGAATGGTTAAAAACAGGAATTAAATTTCTCAAATGTTCGGAAATGAGCGAAGTTTAGTATGTCACCGATATGGACTTTGACCATCGGAAAATGTGAAAGTGTCTCCCTATTTGTTTATTTCAAATTTATATGTTAATTTCTTGATTACTTGATTTAAAAAAAATACAGATATGTTTTTCGACCAGGTTATTTGCATAGCAAATTTGTAAAAGGGGCAATTCTTAGACTTGTACAAACAAATCATTACAAAATCAAACACATTATTATTATATTACCTGTCAACAACACTAGAATTATTGGTTGGTTAGCAGAAAGCAGTAGTGTATTGCATGATGCAGTCCAATGTAATACACTGTATGGCCTAAAACACTGCATCAATAAACGAGTGGAAAGGAACGACAATATACGTTTTCGGTTCTTAGTTGTTGTGCGCAAAAGTACACCCAAGAAACGCAACGAATAATATTGTTGGCATCTAAATATACACTTTATGGCATATGGAATATAGGCATGTTAATTAAGTTTTATATATTTTAAATTAAAAATTAAATGAAATGGATTATACTGTAGTTTGAAATTATATATATGTAGGTTGCAATTATATATAATTATTTCAAGAATAAAGACGTTGTGAAAAGGTCCTAATATTGCATTATAGCATGAGCATTATTCTGTTTTCTAGATCTAACTAATGTTATGCGTCTATAACATTTAATAAACTTAACAAATTTTATGGGTTTCTATTATTATGTATTATTGCGATGAAATTATGTTCAAGTCAAATTGAAGTGTAAAAGTGTAACTTACACGAATATTATTATTTCATTATAAATCAATGTGAGTTGTTGCTATAAATAACTTGGAGACATTTAAAAAAAAATCAATTGCTCATACTACTGATATGTAGAAATACCGCTTCCGATTACACGTAACTACATTCATTAGTAATATTATCAGTATATTAAAAAATTTTGAAAATTGGCTTTAATAAGAAAAATAAATAAATGATGAGTAGGGACTTAAAAATGTTTAATAGTTATCAGTTTGGACTTTGGAATGTGAATTTTTCTGATGTGTACATCACTATTTTATTCTCGTAAGTTTTTGTAAACACTGTTATATAGAATTGAAGCCTCAGACATTTCATTATGTGTCCTTAAATAAAAAGATTCATTAATGAAAATAATTTTTAAAAAGCACTATCTTATCATGAACTGTTTTTAATTAATTCAGAGGTTATATAAAAATAATTATCTCGACGCAAAGATTTCCAAATATTTGGAGCCTTACAGCATTAGCAATGAGAAAATATTTTGCTTTAATCAATATCATCCAAATATGCACCAGATTACTGAAGTTATATAAAGTAAACCAAAATAGACTCAATGTCGTTCAATGAATGCCATCATTCAAAATCAAAATTATAATCCATTTATTTTTCTCTTTGAGATCTCTGTAGATCTTAAGATCACTGATATATTGTAAAATTTAATAACACTTAGAGTTATTGGATCTGAAGTGACAGCAGGCTTATTTTATCAATTCAAAAAACAAAATACTTCTTGTCGGTGGACTTGGTGGCAAGGAATTATGATTAATTTTTAATTAATAGAGACTTGGAAAGATAAAAAGTACTTTAAATGTACTTTTTTCGCTAAAGTAATACATTTGTTAATGTTTGGCAAAAGTGATCTTAATGTTTTCAGATACTCTGTAATAACGATGTAGATTTTAATAAAATGTTAACAAAACGAGAAACGGCAATGTTATCGGAAAATCCTACATTTTCAGCACGAAGCAAATGTGGTGTGCTGGATGCATACCCACAAGTTTTTCTTCCACAAAGTTTCCAATATACCGGCCACATGATTCAGTGGGTTAAACAACTGAAATCGGGATATAATTGTTGCCAATATCTCTCCACATAACATCTACTGTTTGTTTTATTGTATACGACTCTTGTGATATAAACTGCTGAGTATATTTGTGGAGAATATGTTCTTAACAGCCTTTTTTTCAAACGTTTCATGGAATTCAAGCCTTGTTCTGCAACAGGTTAGAACATGTATATATTGCATAAAATTTCATACATACATATGTTAATAAGACAAAATTAATAAGATGTAATATTTTATCGTTACTGTGATTACGAGTATATAAAATTTTGTTTCCTTTGAATTTAAGAAGGCTCAATTTATTGGTAAAAATACTGTTTCGCTATCTTACGAATAATCAGTTTTTAAATATATTTTTTAATATAATCAGATCAATATAGATCTCTGTCATTAATGAATTACAAATAAATGTTATTTCGTTTTGGAGTTTTGCGGCCCTGTGCCCCACTAGGGAAAACGGACACTATGAAATGTTATTTCGATTTGCAGTTTACACTATGAAACTTGTAAGTTACACTGTAACTTGTAATGATCCTGCTAGAATATAATTTTTTATTAAATAATAATAATTAATTGAAGAAGCTGTGCGTCTAAAAAAAAGTAAAATAAATAAATTACACGAAAGTTCAAGCGCCAGATAACCGCACCAAAAAAGTAAAAAAGTACGTTAACTGCACGAAAATCATGGATTAAAAATAAAAAAAAATTCTGCCGTAAAATTATTTTTAATGTTAAAAAAATGTTCATAAAAGAAGTAAATAAAAAGATATACGACTGTACTCTAACTGTACAGTTAGAGTGAGAATTTATATTGGAATTTGTTCGCAAACACCGGATTTCAGAACTGTGTACTGCTTGGACCCTAGTCCCGGAATTAAGAATTAGAATATCTTACGATATATTGTCATTATTGAAAATTATTTCTAGAGAGCAGAAAACATTGTCAAATAAACATAGTTGAAACTGTTTGAAAAACATAAAGAATCTGTATTTGCATATCAACCAATATCAAATTTTAAAGTTAGAATAGATTGGTAACGATAAAAATTTTGTTTTTATTACCTCCATTTCTATATAACCAATGGAGAAACCAATTGAATAAATCATTTAATTCAATAATATGGCATTGCAAATACTATCATAAAAAAATCAGGCAATTTCATAAAAACAGTTAATTGCGCTACTCGCACTTAGATGTAAACATTAATGGGCCCTCATTAAACATGTTAATGCCTGTTTAAATGCTCCTAATGTTATATCTAATACAAACTGACACAATTATTGCGATTTTAATCAATGTCTCAGCAAAAATTCTGATTAAAAGTTTTTGCGTGTTGCCTCTTTTAATAAATTATTATTATTTAAAAATTCTCATGTGTGTGATAATGATAAAAGTTCAAGTGACTGGGAAACGTTCTAAATCATAATTTTCTAATTGAGGAGATAAAAAAAACGTGTGACTAAAAACTTAGATAGATAACAAAGGTCCGTCCATATCTTTATTGGTTGATTGGTTGATTGGTTGTATGCAGGTATGTATGGCATGTATCATGTATGTTGTCTAGGGAATCACTCGCGAATAACTGAAATTCGGAAAATGAGTGATGGAGCGGTGGGGTACTGATAAAGAATTAATTTGTTAATTACTTGCGCTTATGGGAAGCACCTAGTGGCGATGTTGAACGTAGCTGAGAACATTGTCGCAGGCGTCAGGTGTGCTTGTCTCAACACTTTGGAATTTCATGCAATGCGCTACTCATGTACTAAGCATGTAGAGGCGAGTTTTTTGCCCAAAATAGGTATAGAGACGCTATAAAATTTGCGCAATGAGTAAGCTTTTTAAATTATATAGATCGTCTCAATAAAAGTAAAAGAAGTTAATAAAAGTATCTTAACCGATAAAATTTTTTACTGGGAAAAAGAAATTCGTTCATATGTTCATAATTCGCATGGTCTCACGACTGCTCGACTGCTCGTATACCGTAGAGCTTCGTGTCCGCAACGAAGAGCGTAGTATTGAGTTAAAATATAGAGATAAGGTTCCTTTGGCTATAAATAGGTGAGAGTTATAAGCAGTTAAGCTAAAAGTAAAAAGACATTCACACAGCAAAGGAATACGGAAAACTAGTGAAGCAAAAAGTTGCTAATCAAAAAAGTGAAAATAAAGTATTTAGAAATTGTCGATAAAGAAAAAACTGAAAAACGGACACTTGCGCGTGTATAAACAAAGAAGACATGTTATCGTTTTGTAAATGCATATATATAATATTACTAACAATAATTTTAACACTAATGGTGGTACTGGCTACAAATGTACCACTGCCGGCAAGAAAAATCCCTCTTGCTGGCACTTCACCAAGGGTAACTTATGGATTTATGCAAAATCGTTTATCACACGATGGTCAAAGGCAAACGGAATGGTCAAAGGAGTTCTTAGCGAAACGTGAAGCGATGCCACACTCAGCACCTTACACTGTATCAATACAATTAATGACACCAGACCAAGGCCTTGTACATTACTGCGCCGGGACTATAATCAATGAACATTGGATATTAACGGCAGCTCACTGCCTCAGTTCGAGGCAAGTAGTTGAAAACTCTGTTATTGTTGCGGGTTCACATGACATACATGCAACAGAGGAACAAGAACATGTGCAAATGCGTCATATCGATTATTACG